TATATTCCACCTTCGCAATCGTTTTCTCAGCAAGAACTCTACAGTTTATTCTCCGTACTTTCCCCCCCATTAATTATATTCGGCGATTTCAACAGCTGGAATACCATCTGGGGCTCAACAGTGAACAACACTCGCGGTACTGTTTTAGAAAAGGGCTTTTTTCAAAGCAACCTTTGCGTTTTAAATGATGGAAAACCAACGCACTTCTCAACTCATCATACTTTTTCACATATTGATTTAACATGTTGCTCTCCATCACTTCTTCCTTTGGTGTCCTGGTCTATTTCTGATGATCTACATAATAGTGATCACTTTCCAATCATAATCGATCTTAAACTTTCAATATCCTCTGCTACTCCAGCAAAACAGGCCAAATTCCTCCTAGATAAAGCGGATTGGATCAATTACTCCAAACAGGTGGAGTCATTTTTGAACTCAAAGCCATTTAACGGAAACTGCAACCATGATGCTGCTATTATGTCTAAAGCGATTCGCACGGCTGCTCATCTTTCTATTCCTCAATCCACCACCTCTTTTAAACGAACTAGGGTTCCATGGTGGAACAACACGCTTTCGTTTTTGAGGAAAAATAAAATGGATCTATGGCACCGCTTTAAGAGATGTCCTGATCAGAATCACTTGTTATTATACAAAAAGGCCAATGCTCTATTCAGGAAGGAATTACGGAAATCAAAGGCACTTAGTTTCGAACTTTTCTCGAGACGAATTCACAGAAATACATCAATGAAAGTTGTCTAGAACAAAATCAACAGACTTAATGGGACTTCAAACCTGAACCAAATTTCTGCCATCTGCAGTCCCAATGGAACTTTAACTGACGCAGATGAGATTTCTAATTATTTTGGAAAAGTGTGGTGCGAATACTCCTCTGACAGCAACTTCTTCAGTGCTTTCATTGAAAATAAAAGGACTCCAATATCTCCTTCAAATAATATCGATAGATGTGCCGTGTTTCTGGAAAATTGCGTATCTACCTCAGAACTTGGAAGTTGTCTCTCCAATTTGAAGGGGAAGACACCTGGTCTAGACCGCATCTCATACCAAATGATCAGTGCTATGTCTAAGTCTAGTAAAAAGAAATTACTGGACCTTTATAATACGGTATTTATGACTGGCCATATACCCTACATGTGAAAACTGGCAACAGTTGTTCCAATTCCAAAGTCAAAAAATGACTCCATCGCATCTGATTATCGCCCAATTTCTCTTTTATCTTGCCTCTCTAAGGTTTTAGAGAAGATTATGGCATCTAGATTATCTTGGTTTCTTGAATCCAAGAACCTGATAACAAAGCAACAAGTTGGTTTCAAGCGGGGTAGAGGATGCATCGACGCTCTGTTACGTATTGATTATTTCACAAGCAAAGCAATTTCCGAACGAAATCACGTAACAATTCTCTCAATTGATTTCGAAAAAGCATTTGACAGAGTTGGTCTTCATATTATCTTAAGACTCTTGAAATCATGGAATGTTGGACCCAAATTCTTCAACTACATCAAATCATTCATGTCGCATCGGCGGTTCAAAGTTAGAATCAACAATCATCTTTCTGATTCCTTTCCGCTAAAGAATGGCATTCCGCAAGGATCTCCTCTCTCTGTCACGCTTTTCCAGATCGTTTTCAACGAAATTAGCGAAATTCTTTGCCGTGTACCAAGAGTGGAACATTGTCTCTACGCGGACGATGTATACATTTTTACAAAAGAAAAAGACAAGACGAAAGCAATCAACATCCTCGAATCTATTGCATGTAAGATCTCCACATGGGCAAACTCGTCAGAAGCTATAATCTCTATACAAAAATCAAAAAAAATGCACATTTGTCGAAAACAAATGTGCGATGCAGGAAACCTACTGATGCATATTAATGACTTACCAGTACTAAATGTGCAGACGCTCCATGTTCTCGGGCTCACGTTTTCAAACAATTATCGTTGGAAAGTACACTGCCTTCGGTTAAAAAACTCCCTTTTAACAAGGGTAAATTTCATACAGTACGTTGCTAAGAGAAGCCATGCGCATATTAATACTATCGCTGATCTTACCAAAATGCTTGTGTTAAGCAAGATTGACTATGCTTTGATAATTTATGGCAATAGCTGCAAATCTAGTATCAACATCTTTAAACCGGTCTATCACCAAGCCGTTAGAGCAAGTTCTTATGCTTTTCGGACGACGCCCATAAATAATATTATAATTAAAACTGGTTTCCCAACTTTAGAAACTAGACTGTATGAGTTAAAAGCTAAAATACTCCCTAAGCTTCTTAATTCAAACAAATCCATTCTCGGTTATGACGTAAGAGAGATTATTATTGCGAAGAAAATTCCAAAGTCACCATCTGCTCTTGACCATTGTTTGTGCATCGCAAAGGAATTGAACATTCCCTTAAAAATTTTCCGCTCTTTTGGTGTTAAACCTCCCTGGATTTTGAAAGACTGCTCTTTTGACATCTCACTGTCTATGCACAAGAAAGAAGATACTCCAAATTACGTCTTCAGGAATCTAATAGCTGAGAAAACCCAAGTATTGGACAATACTGGTTGGAATCTTTTGTACACAGACGGCTCAAAATCTCCTGGTCTGCCATCTGCTTGCGCGGTGGTAGATGCTACAGGACGGGTTCTTCTCAACCACATATTTCACGAAAGCACTTCAACATTCATAACCGAAGCCAGAGCTATCCTTCATGCTGCCAACCAGTTTGTCTGTATTGCAAGCTTTTCGGAACCCTTCAACTTCGAGATGGAGCACCATTAACAAATTAAGGAATATAATTACTACACCCGACGGAAAAATTAAAATGTTATGGGTACCAAGTCACATCGGTTTACTGGGAAATGAGCAGGCTGATCGACCGGCAAAGTATGCTGCTTCTGCTCCTCTAATTATGGATGATGTCATGGAAAAGTTGTATCTTCAAAGATACATTGGAAGAAAAGTTAAAAAGAAAATTGCAGAAGGAAATTTACAATACCATCATCAACACTACTCTTGCATTAACCCTCAATTAACTCCACCTCTATATCCAACAAATGTTGAGAAAGCCAAGATCCAAACCTTTTCGAGAATTCGCCTTGGTCGTACAATTGCAACTCACCGATGGATCCTGAAGAAGTTTTCTCCCCCAATCTGCTGTTGTGGACAAACTCTTACTATAAAGCACATTCTCTGCCACTGCCTCAACTTTTCCTTGGCTAGAAGTATTGCATTTGGAACGATTAACCCTTTGAACATTCTACAATCAGCTTCAGAACAGAATATCAATTCAATATTTTACTTTATTAATACTACTAAGCTTATTATCTAATATCCATTTATTTAAATTAGAGCCGACAGCCTGTGTTGCTAGTGCTCAATGTCTTTTTTTTAGTCTAAGAATAGTCTAAAATTAAAATAATAATAATAATAATATATAAGTATATATAAGAACCCTACATAAATAAAAGAATCTTTTCTTTTTTCTCTCTCGTAAGAACCTAATACAAACAAATTTTATATATAAATATTTATAAAAACCCCACACAAAACACTAAACAAAATATATGTACACTATAAGATTACGGTAGAGGCAATAACATCGATAATTGATAAACCCAAGAACGATCATTTATTGTTAAAGATCATTCTTCCCAAGAGGAAAGATGTAGCATTATCGATCTGTCGCACTCTACCGTGATTTACAATTTACGCTAAGTTGACATTTCAACATAATGTGACACCTAACCTAGTAAAGATAGACTAATTTAGTTGTAACCGACATTAGTCGTAATTCTAATAATAACCTGCTTTAATTATATTATTTGCTTAAGTTATCATTCTAGTAATAACCTACTTTAATTGTATTAATTGCTTAAGTTAGCATTGAATTATTTATTATATAAGATACTGACTATACCTCAGTTTGGTCAGAAGTAACTTAGAATATTAGCAAGAATTAATAAGCAAAGATATAAATAAAGACTTTAAAATAAACAACTAAATACAAGAAACTTTAATTTTGAGTGGTGTCACTGCAATACTCTGCCAATTCTACCAGCTGGGCTGGTATAGCGTTTATTGCTATTTTTCATGTTTTCAGCTTATGTTTCTTTTTTGGGAAGATGGAAAAAGCGTCGTTCTCATAACTAATTTGTGGAGAATTAGAATTTTGAGGAACGAGGTGTTGTTCGTGCTATAGATCTTGGTGTGGTCAAAAAATTGAAACCTATGACGTCGTTGTTTGCTTTAGGGCTTAAATTAATATAAAATATAGCTAAAATCTCCTTGATTACCCCACTTCCAACGTTAGTGATGTTGCATAATTAATGTCGCTACAACTTCAATTCTGATCTAATATCAAGAGTAGGCCTAGAATATTTTCAATTTTTTATTGCTTCTGTGTAAGCACATTTGTGTTTCAGTTGAAACGTGTGAAAACCTATCTTATCACAATCCAAACACTTAATCAGTTTTCCATAAAAATTAACTGTCTTTTCTATGGGCATGACTTGACTATCTTTTAGCAATATTTCTCATCATTCTATTTATATCCACTATATGTAGGTTGCATATTGGCGGTGATCTCGGAGTTATTTGACTTATCATCAACTTCTTCATTATCATTAACAGTCTGCAGCACTGCAAATTGGTTGTTGGTAAATAAATCTAATCCACTGACCGGGGCATTGAAACTCACCATTCCTCTGATTTATTCCCTAAGCATGTAAGTGTTACACAACACTGTTAATCCATTAGCAACTACATGCATAGTGCTGAAAGCTCTTTCATAACTTAGTAATGTGACAGCCAACAGCTAAAAAAGCAGCAAACAAATAGAAATCTTCCTTTAACTGTTCAACAGCAGCGAAACTTACAGATAACTACAGATTTCTTTATCCTGTCTGCAATGGAGTCCGTAAGATGAAAAGATGTACGTGCGTTCTCATCTAATATGTTTCCGGACCGAGAGGAAACCCTAACCGTGTAAATTTTCCGCCTGCTAGGAATTTTTATCGTATTCTGGCTGAACCGACGTACGTGAGCTTATAGCATGCGCTACCACCTTTACTTTGTTGAAGTCCGAAATACAGTGCAGCATTATTATCTAGAGAAACTGTAAGAAACGTATTTGGCCGATTGCCGAATCCATCAAAAACATCATTACATATTAGAGGCGATAATTATGAGTCGAAAAACACAATGCCAGCAAACGCGAATAACGTCCAGTTGCCAACCATCAAAGTTGCTTACGACATGTCCTTTGTATTGAAAAATGAATTTGGTTGTTTACGCATCTTATAAATTCAATTCCAATTGGTTTTCGCGCTAACAAAACGTCGTTACCATCCACCTATTTTTAAATTTGTTCTCTAAATCCTGGTTATACAGGCTGTTTTAAAAATTGATCCAATTGATTGACAGATATATTCGAAAAATGTTGGTACAGAAACTAGGCTAAATTGTTCTCAAATAAAAATTGGGTTATTTAGTCATATGTATATATTGCAACAAATACTGTATCAATGGATTCCCCATTATAAACTGTAAATTTATTAAAACAGTTTCAGTATCGTGGCATGCGACTGCATAAAACTGTGAATGCGCATTTCTTTGAGGTGCTTCACTGAAAAAAAAACACAATACACAAATTTCGAAATAAAAACGATGTATGACACTGTTTAAAACAATCGAATTGCATTTCTTAGTAACCTAAGCGAACAACAAGTGTAAACAATGCAATTTCAGTAAGCTCTTTTACCGCGCTTATTTATAATTAATGTTTTATGGTGACTAACGAATACTCTTAAATTTGTTAAGTATTCTTAACTAAAATTACGAATAAAAAATAGCATATAGACTAGAGATTTTCGTCAATAAAGCATCCTTATTTTTATGGTCATTGATGTGAATTAACTCGTATTTGGATTGACATTTAGTTAAATGGTTTGCCACGTTTGTTCTTTGGCATACTCAATTATGTTGACGTTCCGAAGTCGAGCCAGATCTATGTCTTACATCGCATAATGTATTGTACGTTTACAATACATTGTAAACTTCTCTTGAGCTCGATCCTTTATAAGAAATTCGCAGCGTGTCTCGGTAATCTCCCCGTCAATTACATCGATAAATGCAACTTATACTTAAAATGTTGTCAGAATATTTTTTTAGCATTGAGACAGGTGTCGGTGAGCACTCCGTTTGGTATACATACCAAACTTAAATGGTTAACAGATATGTTAAAAATGGATGATTTATCGCTATGATTTATATTCTTAGATTTGTTACTTAAATACTCTTTTTTTACAGCATTTATAGCAAATAGTGCTCTCACATCTGCGTTCCTCGCTCCCGTGGTTTCTTTAACCTTAATGCTTATATCTCTTATTATCGCTCAGTATCTTATTAATTCTAATAAAGTCGTTTTGATTTTTTTCTTTACGTCACTAGTCCCGCTTTCTAAACATGCATTTTTTACACAAGCATACCATATACTCACGGTTTCATTTTCCATATTTTGGCTTTAAAGAATTTTTTTCGTTCAAAGAATATCTGTTAGGGAGTAATGTTCTTGCCGTAGATCGCGTAAGTCATCATACTTTTTACTCACTGGTAAAACCGGATCGTATAATTCTCATAACACACCGCAGGCCTACAAAGCAACCATATTTATAAATATGAAACTGTTGATATTTTCTTCGCCAGCAATGGTCTTCACAAACGCACGTTTGAACAGAGGCTTTTGGAATCATGCTGTAATTTTCAGTAGCGCCATGGCTTACTATATAATTTGCAGCACCGTTAGTGATCATTATTTCAGTGATTACAACTATTATTAACAACAATGTGGTAATGTTAATTCTTTTTGATTAAAAAACCTTTTTTTTGTTTGTTAATTTTTTATATCTTGTGCAATGTTAACAAAACTGTACTCAGTAATCAACTGTGATTATTCCATATATACATTGTTATTCTATGTATATATTACTTGATTTACTACTACGTAAACACAAATAAAAATCACTCGATACTGTTAATGCAGCGTATTGATTATGTTGGTGTTATCTAGGTTTTATTTTCGAGTTTCGACTTTGTTTCCGATATGTGTGGATGAGAAGTGTGAGAAAATCTTCGCCGAATCTGTGAAATCAAGCATAAGCAAAATAGCTCACGTTTTGCGTTAGCATTAGTTGTTCTAAGTCAGTATTGATTATTTAGAATTGCATTCATAGGCGAAGAAAGCTGGAAATGGAACAGAGAATAAATTCCTAAAAAGACAGCTGAACCAAAAAAACTTCAAATAATTTCATTTTAAATTTATTTGTGTATTGTCTACATATTTTGCAAACGTGTCGGTTTAAAGGGTGGCCAATAAGTTAGATCGTACGCTCGCCTGTATTGAAAACTCTACCGCAATTGAAATAAAATTTTCAATTTTAAAAAGAAAACAATTATTCGAAAATGCAAGGCTTTCTTTTTAAATTTGTAATAACATGTAAATATGGACAGTAACAATAAAAAATATGAAATTAAAATTAATATTGAGTCAACTTAAGGCAAACTTGTTCTTGTTTGAATTCATGCGGTTGATTAAAATCGTCTTTTTTTTCTTCTTATATTGTTGGCCATTCCCAGCGTGCTCCCTATGCAAATCTAAGATGTCAGAGCCCAGATTCTTTTCGGATCTTATTGTGCTTTCTTCAAAGGATGGATAGCTGACAAAAGAAAATTATATTTACTAATAATTATAAATCATTAATAATAAAAATGGAGTTAACCACTTCTTATTTTCGCTTCTTAAATGGAATGCTATCCTCAGTCTCGCAATCTATAACGTAAGGGAGTCATTTATTTAATGAATTAAATTCCGCTACAAACCAAGTGCAGGAGCACAAAAGGGATGTGAATGTCAACAAGTTCTTATAAAGCCGGCGAATAAAAATCATCTTTCATTAGCTTAAAGCGGAGGGTTACACCCAATATTTCACGGCTTTTTTCAAGGGTAGACACACAAAGGAGCTTTAAGTTATTATTATATGGTGGAAGAGACAGCGCAGGATCCTATCCTAAACCTCTCCATGCAAACATCAAGAAGTCCCGTCGAACAGACTCCAAGAGATCAATAAGGTGTCTATAACTAGGAAGCGCGAACTATTGAATAGTTCGTCTAACTAAAGAAGTATACAAGCACTTCGTAACGTATGGGTCTTTAAATTCTTTAGACCATCTTTTTATAAACCCTAAAAGGGATCTAGCTTTATTAATTGACACATCAATATGACTGCCAAACTTGAGTTTTGAATCAAAAGCAACTCCTAAGTCTTTGTAATTGCAGACATTTTCCAGGATGTGAAGGCATCGTATTACACCATGTAAAAGACATGTTCTTGCATTTGTTTAAATTCACTACCATAACATTGGTTGCACACCGTGAGCACAGCTTCTTAAGATCAGACTGAAGAAATTTAGTACCATGTATTGAGTCAAAGGAGAGAGACAGTTTAACGCTATCTGCAAACATTAAAAGACGAGAATGTTGAATGCACTCCGAATGCACTCATGTATAAAATAAATAAAAGTGGGCGATATAACTGCACTGATTGTAATCATATATAAAATGCAATTACAAAATAAACCAAAAATTGTACATTATAATCGTGCTCCATTTGTGAACACACTTCAGTTGATGCGCCACATATTCACAAATTTTCATTACCACCGATTGCCGATTCTAAATTTGTCAGCTCGACAATTCTCTCTTCGTCCACAGTCAGTGTCGCCTGCTCACTTGGGCGCCCTCCACTCTTTTGTAGAGACAATCTGTTAACATTCAATTTTATTTTTGTCTTATATGTATCGACCGCCCACTCCTGAAAAAGGGTAAAAATAACACAAATGCAAATAAAATGTTAGCGTCATTTTGCCAATTTGACTTTATTTCGTATTATTACAAATTTTATATAAATATGCTTTTATTTACATTGTGTAATTTTGTCATTGATTAAATCATGCTGCTTGCTTATAAACAAGCAAATTCCAAATTTACCGTTTCAAAATTCCCTTTATTTTTTTGAAATATTTAAAGGCGAAAGCCATTATGAGGTATTTAAATTTGTTCTTCCTGACTATTGCCTCAATATTACTATTAGGACTCCCAGGTTTCATGAACTGAGGCTTGTGTAATAGAATATAGGAAAAGGTAAATCTTGACTATAAGATAGGCAATATAGAATAAAACGGCGCTTTACGTTTGATCAGAGATAAAACACATATGATGCTTTACTTCTCAGTTTCGCGCAATTTAGTGTTTACCATAATATACTTACCCTTGGTAAAATCTACTACTTACAAAATAGCTCACGTTAGTTGTCATTAGTGTTTTTGTGAAGTAAATTTTGTTTATTAACGTATTCAAACAGATAACACAACGTTAGTGTTTATATGAGGATGCCGCGTTATGATAGGTGCAATCTCTAGTGTTATTTTTAAAAGTTTGACGATTATCATTACTCTCCAATACAAGCTGATCTTTACATTTGATAGGAAACATCTGTTTTCTTACTGTTTTCTTAATGCACATATAATATACCTCGATTTGTAAGTATATACTTTTATGTAGCATACATAGCCACTATATATCACATCATGTCGTAATTATATAAAGGGTCGAATTATCGACCGTTCTTATTACTCTGATAGAAAACTTTAGTGTATACACGGAGAGTTAAGTTATTATCACGCTTTGCGTTAATATTGGGTGTTTAGAATTGGATTTATGAGAGAAACCACCCGTACATTGAAAATAAAATATTTATTATTATTATTATTATTATTTTAATTTTAGACTAATGAAATGAATTCTTAGACTAAAAAAAGACATTGAGCACTAGCAACACAGGCTATCGGCTCTAATTTAAATAAATGGATATTAGATAGTGAACTTAGTAGTATTAAAAAAGTAATATATTGAATTGATATTCTGTTCTGAAGCTGATTTTAGAATGTTCAAAGGGTTAATCGTTCCAAATGCAATACTTCTAGCCGAGGAAAAGTTGAGGCAATCGCAGAGAATGTGCTTTATAGTAAGAGTTTGTCCACAACAGCAGATTGGGGAAGAAGACTTCTTCAGGATCCATTGGTGAGTTGCAATTGTATGACCAAGGCGAATTCTTGAGAATGTTTGGATCTTGGTTTTCTCAACGTTTGTTGGATATAAAGGTGGAGTTAATTGAGAGTTAATAAAAGAGTAGTGTTGATGATGGTGTTGTAAATTTCCTTCTGTAATTTTCTCTTTAACTTTTCTTCCAATGTAACTTTGAAGATCCAACTTTTCCATGACATCATCCATAATTAGAGGAGCAGAAGCAGCATACTTTGCCGCTAAATCCGCCTGCTCATTTCCCAGTAAACCGATGTGACTTGGTACCCATAACATCTTAATTTGAAAATAAAATATATTCCACACAGCTTAACCAAAACAAAAATTTTAATTTGCAATTGGTAAGTAAATGAATTCCTTTTTTCTTGCTTCTAAATCCATTTGCTATTTTATTTTTTTTTGCGTTTTAATTCGACAAAGCTTGTAATTAACTGTGTACCATCAGCCTTTCTGTACATCATCATAC